ACACACACACACACACACACACACACACACACACACACACACACACATACATACATACATACACACTTATTCCCTTCCTCTTTCTGTATCTCTCTTTCAGTTCTTATCATCATCCGAAGAAGTATGGGAGTGATATGCACTTGAAGAATTCCCCTTTATGTATATTCAAGTGCCCACTACTGTTTTATAAAATTTACTCATATTATCAGTAATACAAGTGTGTTATAGTGTTGGTATTTGAAATTTACTTTAACTCTATCAGGCTTTCTGTTCCCCACTCCTGTCTTACTTCAAATGTGAATCACTAAAAAGATTGCTTTTATTGTGTGCAGTTGTGGTCTAGTATGGAATTTCAGTCATTTACACTTATGCAAGAAAATAAAATGAAAATGAAAAAAAATAAGGAAAACAATAAATTAGTTTTTCATGCACTTGACACTAAACTACATATCAAGGTGGTTTCTGTCAAGTATTAAAACTTTGAAATGGTTTTCATGTTTTGCTAAAACCATTTTTTAGATGCTGAGTTATTTTTTGGCAGAACATATACACATTATATATGTATATATACATATATATCTAATTATCTTGTCCGAGCATATAATGATTTTGAATCTCCTTGAATTGTTTAATATAGTTGTTTAAATAAACTTTAACCAAATTACCTTTTTTCCTTCATACAACCAAAAAAGACAAGTCAACCAATTTTCGTAAGTACCATTGAATTACTGCGGTTAACCGTTTATTGACCGATACGATGTAAATTAATCTATGTGATTTCATCATACTACATAATACGTCGTTAGGAAGAAATGAAAAATGATTTTTTTTTTTTTGGAAATATTTTTATTAAACTCTCTTAGAATTCTAACACTTAGGTTTCTATTCGACGAACCATACTAAATGCGTTCTTGGAGACTTTCGTGAAGCATATGTTGAAGTAGTCGTTTAAGCAAATCATATGTAAAATCTTATGTATTACGTATCTTGGTGGAAGAAAGGAGAAAAGCCATGTATACTTATCGTGTCACGAAAAAAGATGTATATATTAAAAAAGGGCAGTTTATCCTATAATTGTTAATTATTAGAGTTTTTCTTATAAATTTATTTTATATTAAAATACCCGCTTAATCATTTATATAATTTTATAAATGCTTTATGCTACACTTATTTCAAAAATATTATATTTCTCTTTTTATACGTTACACCACTTGTTCTACAGAGCATATTAAGTTTGTGCGGATATTTGCAACATCCAGAAGGACTTAAGAGATAAGCACCTTTTATTACACCGATCGACTCAGAATCACTCTCTAAGCTTGTCCGTGCATCTGTCCGTCTTGATTTTTTTGTTCACCATCCAGATGGCGGTTTTTGAGATATTTCGATAAAATTTGGTATACCGATAAGACCACTTTTTCGAGCACTTCCCATATAACGGTTTATTTTGAAAAGCCTGTATGTGAATAACTGTATTAAACGAAGTTCTGTAGGGTATTTAATAGTGGGTTATAGCTTACTATAGTGTTTTCCCTTCCTTTAATTTATTCGATTTTGTTTAATTTATTGTATTATTTTATATTCTATTACTTTGAAATATTATATCGTTCCTTGCATATATTCTCTTACATTATGTTTCTGCGTTTTGAGATTATTTCATTTTATTGAATTTTCACAGTTTCATCAATCGTCTTGCGCTCCATTTAGTCTATTTTGCCACATTGCCGGCGCGCTTAATTATTTTTATGAAATGATTCTTTATGATATTAGCTAATTTTTTTATTTACTTCATTTCGGTTAATCTTCACAAATTAATTAATTTATTAATTATTATTATTATTATTATTATTGCTATTGTTATTATGGATACTTTGGCTTCGCACTGTGTTTTGTGTACACTTTTGTATCCATCTTACGTCAACTCTGTACACGTAAATTTTTATATATATTGTATGTGAATGAATTTACATACGCAACGAAAACATTTCTATGTATTTCTGCTTAAAACATTTTGTATGTAAGTATTGTGGATGTAAGTGAATGGATGCATACGCGTGTTTTAATTTAATAATATTAATACTAATTAGCTTATCACCTTTGGTGTCTGCTTATATTGAGAGTTTTATAATAATTCCTCGCCAACGTGTGTCGAGCGTTCATTACGCTTCCAGTTAGTTTTCCAGCTGTTTCGCAAACTAGCACTACGACTGCAAACGACTTCTTACATAAAATGAACTTACTTGTTAACTTATACAAAATGATTTCTTTGGAGAATTTCGCCGTTCGCCAATAGCTTAGTAAAAAGCCATTTATTAGCAGCCACAAAAATGTAGGCTTTTCTTTCCAAGCGGAAGATGAAGCATATTCTAATTATTTGGAATGTATATAAATAAAACGAAATAAAAAAAAAACATTATTTTTTTTTCTTTTTTTACATAAAATTGATTTTACCATTATATCTAGTTAGGTATAGACCGTTTTCATCATTACTTTCATCAAATTCATCATTATTGCGATCGAATGGATACGTTTCTGGTGAACGCCCAGACGCCATAATACGCGGTTTATCTTCCTCTACATACTTCTCGGCTTCACCATGGTATATGCGGTAAATGCGTGCAGAACATTTTAGCTGCAAAATAGGATATTCGATAAAGAATTTTAACTGTTTCAATACGAAGGACAATTACTTTGAGCCGTCCTTTAATAAAATGCTGAAGAGTAACTACAAAGTTGATTTCCAAAACAGCCGATTCCAACTGCTCCGCTTCATGTTTTTGTGTACGATAAATTCGCGAGTAATTCGGAGGAACCTAAAAATTAATTTGAAGCAGAAGTGATTCTTATATTACAAGAGAATGGTATTGCTTCGACAGCATTCAAATATGGTTGACACTTTTTACATTCATTTTATCAACACGTTCGCAACGCCCTGAAGGAAGCAGGTCGACACGTCCCCGAAAAGCATCAAATTCTAAATCGATTTAAGCATCTGTCCATCTGTATAATGTCTGTTGTAAACATTCTCCTGGCCACAAAAATGAGGCTATCGACTTCAAATTTGGCAGAAACGTTAGAAGTTCTAGCACACAACTTGCCATTGAAAATGGGCTGATTCGGTCAAAGGGCACGCCCGCAGTACCACGTAAACTGTCTTTCAAAGGGAATGAAAAATTGGTTTTTTGCTCTTCACTCCAAAAATAAAGCAAGTAAATGTGTAAAATTTTGAACGCATATTCTATGGGCGATGCTGTAGCTTGCGTGCACAAAAATTAGATACAAAATTTTACAAATTCTTGGCCACTTTCAAATTTGAAATACACCTAAACATGTTCGCCGGTTCGTCTGTCCATCTGTCTGTTTGCGCATCCTTGTAGCATTTGGGGTAAACATTTTCCCGCCAGCGAAAATGAACGAATGAGCACAAATTTGCAAAAGAATTTGGAACTGACCTAAACTTTTTAAAGGACACGCCTACAACTATTATTATTAATATTATTCTTCTGAAAATGGGAGAAATCCACGCCATTTTATAAAGCATGACAAATTTTTTTTTTTACTTCTTTTGTATGGTGATGAGTATGAAAGCTTCGATTCCGACCGAACTTAATTTTCTTAGTTGTCGCTTTTAATAATGGTATGTCAAGTTTGCGTTAAAATGTGGAACACATCCAACGACTTCAGAGATTCACAAATTTCGTTTTATTAATCATAGGAAGGTCTAAGGTAAATTTTCACGCAAAACTTAGAAACGTTAGCTTCAACAAGTGAAAGTGTGGTTATCTTGAAATAAAGGCAAGACAGACGCGGCTGAACTAAATCCTCGTTTGGCGAATAACTATTTAATAGATTGTACTAAAAAAAAAAGTGGCGTATCAAAGAAACGAACTTGAAGCATTTTAGTTTTCAATATTTCCCTAAACTATCAAGCAAGTAACATTTATGAAGAATCGGAAGGACTATGTTTGTCACTTTCTCTATTGTAATTGATATTTGTATGATCTTTGTTACAGTAAACAGTAAACAGAACTTTTATGGGCTTAGTCAGTCTGTTTATTTATTTTTAAAAAAAGAAGATTGTAAAACTGAAATATCAGCATTTTCGGCGAAATAAATTTATATAGTCCCAGATCTCAGTTGCCATCTTGTAAAAATAAATCTGCAGACAGAGGAAGTAGACCTTCAGAGAAATAAGAGTGATAGGCTATTGGCGGAAGGTGATTTAATTAAACTATTCTCTTGAACACCAAAGGAAAAAGCTTTCTCAGAAAGATTTAGGGATGACCATGAGAGTTCTGCATTCCATCCATACATTCCAGCGGATAGCAAGGAGAAAAAGTTTTTTGAAAGGTTGGCACCCCAATTAGTGACCCGATATGATCAAAGAAATGATTCAATGTTTTATTCTCCCTGTTCATTCCTTCTCAATTGGGCAATATCGTCTAGAGGACGGTCAGATGAAAGCGGGCAGACATTGCTTAGATTATCGTACGATATTTGATCAGCATCGATGACAGTTGGAAAGTAGATAAAAGTAGATTGTTCAGATGGATTAACAAGTGGAATTTGTGAGAGAACGTCTTATGCAAAATTCGATGTTGCAAGCCGTGGGTAAAAATGGATACCATGGGAAGTGTTGCAAATGTATTACACTAAGTTCTAAGATTCAAGGTACTTGAAAATTTATAACTTCGAAAATTTACATAAAACCCCATGGTCAAATCATCGCGACGAAATTTAAGAAAAACTTCCAATTATCACTTGTAGTCATTTATTAGCTTGAAGCCATGGGCATCCAAAATCACTCGACAGCTTAATTGTTTCAAGCAGAATTCTAGTTTTTAAGACCTTTGAATATTATATATTTTATAACTTTCTTCAAACTATTCGAAACAATTAAATAATTATATTTCTATGAATCACGAGCAAATTTGCTTCTTGGACGTAACGAAATATTTTTCATTTTAAACATTTTCTATAAATTTGATCAACAACGTCAATTCGAACATAAAGCTTAAGAAGAAAATGCATAAGTAATGGAAACTTTGACTATTAAGCAAGAGAAATTTGAATTCAACTAAATGTTTTTCGCCATTCCTTTCTCTATGATGGAATCGTTTAGGCTTTATTTAAAAAGTCGTGGGAAACGGAAATTTTTTGACTGTAAGAACTACAAGAAAAAAAGAAAACGAAAACTAAATAAATAAACGAGCTTGCTCATAATAGAAGGAATGAAGAATGAGAAAAGTCGAAAATGCAAAGAAAGAAAACATATACATATACAGATATACCAATAACCATCTATTATATACATTTTCAATATTTTTACAATTTTCCTCACTTAAAAAAAATTACAGCATAAATCAAATGTGAGCCAAACTAATGAATTTTCTTGTTTTGTCCTTTTTTTTTTGTTTGTAAAGCTGATATGAAACTGCAGCAGACAGACAGGAAAGACAGTTGAACGGACACAGAGTATTAAAGAGCTGGTGTGTTTGGTGTGATTCTTATAGCTATAAATGTATGAATGTTTATATACAAACATTCGGTGCTTGTTACATTGGCAGCAATGCCAGTAACTGTCAAATGCACAGACGTTCTTACATATCTACATTTATACAGATGTACATATATATAAATGTGCATGTATATATCTTTGCATATATGCATAAATTGTTATTTGTGTGCTTGCACTTACACACACTCACTCATTCAATCTATGATATATTCAGTATAATTCGGAGCATCAAAAAAAAGGACGAACAAAAAATGAAACCAAAAAATGTAATGCAAAAAAGGAACAAACTACTAATGAATGCTATTCGTTGATTCCTTTTTTAGAGGTTTTGATGTTTTCCCACTACGAACGTTTTGTGTTCGCATCTCGGCTGTTCGAATTCTTGTTTGTTTATAGCGCAATGAAATATATGCGTTCGTGTGTCATAGCAAATATATATGTATATGCATAATTTTGGACCGGCTCCATATAACCTCTTGAAAATTCAATTTTGATGTCATGTGTCTGCAAAATTTGCATGATCATTTTTTTGCATGTTTTTCCACATTTTCTAATAGAAATGACCTCTACACTCATCACTGATGACAGAGGAAAGCAAAATATGGCAAAAAAAAAATAGAGAAAAAACTATAATAGAAAAGAAATTATTGAAAAAACTTTTCAATTTCAATGCGATTATATAATAAAGGAAAGAATAAAAAGCAAATTTATCAATAAATAATAATTTTGAAGGAAAAATTCAAAAATAGGGAGCAAGAATTAAATTACATTTTATAATAAAAAGAGAAAAAATCCATTTTTTTTCTTATCATCAGTGATATCTCATTTTTCAAAGCCTTAATTAAATAATAATTAAATTGTGAAAAATTATTTCATATTTATAATAAATCATTTATTTATTTACTTGTATATCATTTATCCACCATGTCAGATTAGCTGCCGGCTTGGTATAGTCCAATGAGCAATTACCATCGATGTTATCGCCTAAACGATAACGCGAATGAATACCTGTTATGATTGGTCTTTGAGTTGGTAATTCTGCAAAAAAAAAAAATCAAATAAATAAATGAATAAATAGCAACATAAATAAATAAATAAATAAATAAAATATATATTGAAAATGGCAGAAAAAAACTATTATAATAACAATAATGAATACTTGCCTACCACGCACATTTCGCCAAAACTGACTAACGTGTGAAAAGAGGGTGCGTCTGCTGATACTTCACACGCGTATTTACCTGATATTGCCAAAGCAACCTTACTTAGCCAAACATGACTAGCATTTGAATGATTAATCTGAAAACCATGTAAAAAAAAGTTTTAGATTAATTTTTTTTCTGAGCCGATAGCCTGTGTTGCTAGTGCTCAATGTCTTTTTTTTAGTCTAAGAATTCATTTCATTAGTCTAAAATTAAAATAATAATAATAATAATAATAATAATTTTTTTCTCTAGTTTTCATTTGTTATTATTATACCCTACAGAGTGTATGTATATAAAAGATGGTGGCGCGTATGTTTTGCAACCCCGGAGAGATTGGAGTAGATGTGCTTTTTATTATAACAATCGATTGGGAATCATTTCTTTGAATCGATTAAAGGACATTTGTTCCTCTCTATCTGTTATAACGCACAGGTGTCCCACGTATAACACAGTTAGTACCGAGCTATATCATCAACTCGTATTATACGAAACTTTTTTTAAAATTAATTTATTTTAAACTACGATGTAGAATAATTTAAACTTAAACATAATTTATATATCCAACTGCACCCGGTTATATCCGAACCAAATCTTAACTTGTAAAATTGTATAGATATAGCTGAAGTTTCTTTCCAATCATACATACATATAAACGAAGACGTAAGTTATTACTATTATTATTAATTTAGCCAGAGAATACATTAAGACTTTAGTCTTAAAAAAAGCACCAGCATCATCTAAGGCTTTCAGCATTATTAAAAACCCGGCCGCACTTGAGATTTGAACCCACGACCACTGAAGATTTGCTAGTCGAGACTCTTGCCTACTCGGCCACTCAGGCGCATGAAGAAATAAGTTAAATTTAAGTTTTTATGAAAAATAAAATATGGGAATTTATGTAATTATGAAAGACAAAAATTCAAGATATATTTAAAAGAAAAATACCAATGACGATCAAAGAATTAATTTGAATCAAAAATTACAGCTAATCCAGTTTATGTTTTCACAAAATTTGTTGAAACCCCTCTTATTAAGGAAAAAATAAAAATAATCGCAAAAAACACTTGAAAACAAATCCGGGGGAATACACATTCTACTGTTTGAAATCGTGTTATAATGATCGGAAATTTTTTACCGCGAGGTATTGAAACTGTGTTTTCCAAGTATCGTGTTACACGAAGGACTTCTGTAGATAAACTTGTGTTCAAGTCCCAAGTCGTAATCTCTATGAAATTCAAGATACTCTGTCCAACCATTTTCGCGGTTCCACCCGTAAAATATTCTAATACGAAAAAACTTTAGGTTTTAAATATTTATCGGCAACAAATGGTGAGATATAGTATTATTAAATAAGTCTGTAAAGTTAGGATGACATGCCACAATTTTTGGAATTCACTTTACCGCTAATGTTCCTACAAAAAACAAGTGATGTGCCAACAATGCCTAGTGTCTAATTATGAGGCACCTTGTTACCGTAGCTCCGGTGCCGAGGTTAACTCGTCGGTCACCAGGTATTTCTCACAAGAATATTTATTTTTAGGGAAATTTTGCTCGTTATGTTTCGCAAAATATTTTATTTACCTTAAGAAATTTCATACTTACCAACAATTTTACTTAGCTAAGCGGAAAAGAAGAAAATCGCGGAAAAGAAGAAAGCGCTGGTCGGTTCGCTGCCCCGAGTAGGAGAGAAAGAAAAATTCAAAAACCGTCAGTCCCTTGACTCGGACGACTGTAGAAGTCATCTGAAAACCTTACCATATCCCAGTTAGAAAACACCTGTTTTCTGATGAGGTTTCCGCAAACCCACCATTTGTCATGTCGTTTAATATAGTGATTAAATCTTAATACTAATTTAAATCTAACATACTCCCTTCCGATATGAAGGACAAGTGAGGTCAAAATGAGGCACGACTTTGGCTCTTCACATAATATAGTATCATAAAGATCACGACAGAAGAGTGATTTGATAATGATGAAAATGAGTCAAAAATTGTATGAAGTGAAGTTACGCAGGGCCCCGATTAAAATAATTTTCTATATTTTTTTGCTTAGAGGGGAAGTTAGAATTTTTTTTTAAAAGTTTCTTTCAACCCTTTTGAAAACTCTTTTATATTTACATATATATATATTATCTCAACGAAAAATTAACATTTCTCACATATTCCTTTTTCGCCCTTCCATCGACAACTAAAACCGGATGAAGCATATAAGGTGATTATATAAGGTATATTGGTCGCAATATGTCCTGTTTTTACACTGCCTGCGAAGGGTACAGCTATGTTCATTTTATCAAACCGCTCATAACACACAGAAAGAAGCTTCAGAGATTATCTAAAATGCGTATATTGTCAATCGGCATTAAATTCTTAGTCGATCCACACATGTCTGTCTATGCATACATCCGTCTGTCTGTTCGTCTGGTTCCAAAAAGGAAGATGTAAATTCCAAATTCAGCAAAATCTTTGACGGTTCTTGCATGCGAGTTGGTATTGAGAATGGGTCAAATAGGTTAAAGAATAGGTTAAAGTATATAATATAAACTGAGATGGCTCTGTTTTCAAAAATAAACACAAATAAGAACATTGTAGACGGACAGCGCTGAATTTTACATACCCTACATCACTTCGTCTAGTATTCACTCGTTTTGTTAATAATACGCCAAAAAATATATATTTTTTTTATGCACCATTTTCGTGAAAATCCGCATATTCGAAGGTTAGATTTCCCTCCATTTAAAAGTTTGTGTTTCGTCTAATCGCCTATATATGTTGAGGTCTAAGAAAAATATACCAAATTCCCCAACGTTAATGTTTTGTTGAAACGCTATTACGAATAAATTTTCATCATAAAATATTAAAAACTAAGTGTTTTTTTGAATGGCTTGCTACTCATGAGATATCTTCTACGGAGAGGTGCCAAGAAATGAACCCAAGCCATTCAAATTAGAGCCATTCTTCAAAAATTGCCTCAGCTAACTCAAAGTTTTTATAGCAATTTAGAATGCCCAAATACTAAAACTTAGCCACAGACACGCGACGCACAGACGGACAGACGAATAGACAGGCTTAATAAAAGTCTTAAGTCCTTTTGGGTGTTAGATACATCGGCGCTAGCTTAACATACCCTTTAGCACATGTTGTGCAGGGTATAATAAATAATCATTTCTGACTATTTCGACAGTTTCACGCATATAACATACTTTCTTTATTGCTTTTTTTGCTTTCCTATCCATCGTACCAATCATCTTTTCTTTAATGAACAAACAATATTGGACACAGCAAAGCTGCATTATCGGCAACTTACTTACCAGAAAATAGAAACGCAAACTCTTGGTTTTGAACCTCAGTTCATCGGAATTGAAATTTTAAATTGCATTTTAAATTTTTGTATGACAAAATAAAATTTTAGTTAATTTTACTTAATGTCAGAATTGGCTGAAATCATTGAAATGAACTCGATATAAACACTAAAGCTACTGGAAATCAAAACTTCCAAAAAGTTTGCGTGTCAAAAAGATTACAATTCCTTTTTGATATCCTAACATGCGGCATTAAGAAAAAAGATTAATATGATTGTTAAGAAATTTTTAGAAACAATTGACGTCATATTTTCTATGCGCGTTCTGATGCAAAGTAAACATTAGGAAGTGAAGTTTGCACTATTTTTAGGCATTAGTAGGATGGGAGTTACGCATTGGGAAATGTTGAAAAAATCTCTACACAGCAAAGTTTAGTTGCACAGATTTGAACAAAAAGTGAAGGGATTTAATGGAAACAAAATGAGTGGGACCGCGCACGACAAGCAACATTAACACCGAACTCTAATAATTCAGTTTCCCAGTATTTCCTATGTCTCACACCAGGCAGCTATCATCTGTTTCATTAAATTTTTAATAAGAAGGAAGCATCCGACAACTCAGCTATTGTCCTCTAAAACTTCAGGGCGTGTCTAGAAATTAGTCGAGAAGTATGGGCAAGCTCCGAATGACGTTGCAGACAGCATAACTTTTCTGATTATTATTACAATCGTAAGCAAAAGTAAAAAGGAAGGTGATATTATTGCGACTATAAAACTCTGAATTTATTTCTTCTCGTTTTCTTTTTTTAATTGAAAACGGAATATTAATTTTCACATTTTGCGATAAATGTTTTTGTACTATTTACCACACTTTAAGGTAAACATATCTTTTTATTTTTCTGGTTAGTACCTTGTGGGATGTAATGCAATTATTTATTTTCGTTTAATTCCACAGGCTGGCAGGAGGTTTTCCTCATTTTACCTGCAGCGCTTACTTTTTATAATTTTTGTAATATTTTTACATAAAAAAACATATACTGTTTCCTATTGTTTTGCCTTCAGTAAATTTTTATTTAATTATTCTACGTACGTGAATCTACATATAAGTTTTGTCTGAAAAGTTTCCGCCCCGAGTAAGAAAAAAAACATTACAAGGTCCATATTTATAAATTAACACGGATTCCTCTAGGAATGATAAAACCAGACCAACGGTTATTTAATATGTCGATAGGGCTTTCTACAGGTGGGCTATTAATTGAGATATCCTCAATGACCTCATCATTCGATCCATCCCCGTCTACTCTTTCTCCCTATGAAATCCATTTGAGACTTGCCAGCATATGACAGTCGCTAGTAGAATACGGCAGGTGGCCAACAATTCAACGCACAACGCATGCAAAACATTCATAAATGCGGCACTCAAAGTGTGATCTACTTTTCCACGTCTATATCTTGATGCAGTATCGTACAAATAGAATCTTTGAACATATCTATGCCCTTTCCGACAATTTGGCTAATTTGAACCACGTTTGTCAATGGTTACCGTTTTTGGGCGTTATACTTAGTGATATCCTGACAGTCAATTTTTTCAGTTTGAAAACCATCTCAAATCGACACACTCAAACGGTTGTCAAGATGTGTACTCGCCCATTAATGAGCATACAAATTTGCCAACTTTTGTGTACAACTACAGTTGTCTTTCTACATTTTTAGTTCAAATACTTTTCAACCAACCCACTTACATGTCGGTCTATCAAATAACGCATTGTATGCAGTTTAATTGCAATAAACATTTTCAGTATCATTTTAATAAAATCCAAAATTGAAAGGTGCTTCCCTGTTTGACGGTTTTGTTGCGCTATTATACGTCAACTGTGATTCACTTTTCAACGCATGAAGCTTTAATTATTTTCACTTATGTATTTTGAACTATTATAAAGTTAAAAGATCAAAGCGAGGGGTAACCACTTCTAATTATACAAGGCCTTTGTCATCACCAAATAGATATGAATAAAAAATAAAATGAACATATATTTCATATAAAATTGCTTTTCCATTATTTTACAAAATATTCTCCCCAATGGTGGTAAACATTTTGCGCTTTGATACTTTCCGTACCGAAAACAGTTGTGACTATAATTTTTTTTTATTATTTCAATTGGTCCCTAAAATATTTAAAAAGGATATTCGAAAGCTTATGTGTGGAGGAATGGTTCATCGAATATACAGAACCTCCGATTTTCCTTTGCGAGTACGGCTGCTCGCCGCATTGTCTTCAAAACACAACGAAAATAACATTATAAAGACATGCAGTTTAGTTGGGATGAAAAGGGTGATACATATAAAAAGTAATATTTAAGAAGTTCGCGGATGTAAGCGCTATAGCGTTTGTTTTCATTCCCACACAAAATGACACAAGTGTCATAATATTTCAGCCTTAATGCCTGGAGTAGGAACCATGTCGTGTGGACTCTCGGGTAGAAACTCGAAGTATATTCCGATCACATTTTCTCATGACGTGGCATTACCGCCTAAATATAAGCGAAGGGGCTTTCAATGAATACATCGATTACGTCTTTCAACTCTTTGTCGATAATTCTGCTTAATATACATCTGGTGGAACATACCGGATAAAAAACAATTTTTGCGTAAAAGAAAGCTCTCTATTGCGTTGAGGTGAGCGTAACTCTGATGGACTACATGGTATTCGCTTTAAGCGTAAAGCGCGTAATTCTAAAATAAATCAAGTGATCATGACGTTTCAGAGGTCCTTTGTCAGCATCAAAGCTACTCTCTGAAGCCTGTCTTTCAAAATGACTTCAATAGCTCCTTTGATTTTTCTTCTCATTTACTTTGCCCTAGCTGCTGCCTAAGGGATTTTGAACTTGAGAAAGTATAACATGAGAGGGTTAGTTTGTCCAAATTTTAATCGATACTCTCTACTGTCATCGACAAGGAAAGAACGGATGCGATCAAATTCAATAGCCAAAGCATTGAAGCATTAAATATTAAAGATTTGAGTAAGTTAAGCTACAAACTAAAATCAAGCTAATCTTCTCTGCATGAAGTGCTTATAAATTATTGTTATCATTAAGCGATTAAGCAGGTCTTCTAAGAAAAACTCTCGCTCAATGGCATCCTATCCTGAACTAATCCCAAATGTAAGCAACAGTTATCAACACCTAAACCCTCTTGTAAATGGTTGCTTTTTATTATAGTCAACGGTTCGTGTACCGGTAGCCGAAGTTCTGCTATATCAGATTTTTTTGTTTTTTTTTTTTTAACAATTCAATTAACTCTACATTATTTTTATAATCTTTCAATTTTAATAAAATGGAATCGAATTGCTGCAGTGTTTGCACAAAACCTCTTTAATCATAAAAAATCAATTCAAAACGTCCATCCATCACATATGCATACCGTCGTTACTTTTTTTCTTGTTCACCGTCTCGTAATGAAAACCAATGGTGACATATTAAAAAGTCCTGTTTTACTTTTATGTTTATGTAGTTAAAGGCGTAGAGTGCTTACGTGGAAAATGATAATAAAAGCAAGGAAAACAGACAATTTGGCATGAAAAAAAAATAATAATAATAATAACACTTACATCAACATTAATGCCCGGATTTGTCAGGGAGAATATTTTCCAAGCTGGATTCTCTTTCGGTGTATAGCGATAAAATTCTCTACGTCCACGATACCACTTAACTGAGTAAAGTGTGTCATTTTCAATGTCGTAATTGCAGATTAATATCGCATTATCGCTACGTTTTACAGCGGTCGGTATGGTAACACTGACATTACGCAGACACAATGTTTGATCTGTGTGAAAGGAGAAGGAAAAGAAAGAAGAAAAAAACGATACACTCTTTAAAGACTATATTATAGAAAAACAAGGCAGTGTACGCATAACGAAGAAATATTTTGCAAACGTAGATACGCAAGGTGTTAATACCATTAAAGAGACAATCAAAAAAAAAAAAATCGTAACATTACATATGCATGCAAAAAAATCTTTGTGTTTGTATATGGAACGAGGATATTATTGATTTTTGATGACCTGAATGAAAATTTAATGAAAAATAAAACCGTAGGATTTTTTTTTATTTATTTGCGAAAGAGGATATCAAGTTTCCGATTGAAATCAAAATTATATTGGAAAGGAAGTTTTAAGTCAGAAATCTTATGCAAGTAAATGTTATTTAAAGAAAGAAAAAAAAATCTTTTAAAATCCTTAATAATGATTTTAAAATTAAATAGTTTTAAAAATTATATTGAATTGAATTGAATAAATGACTGGATTTCAACTAATTATCTCGTAATAGCGAGTAACTTTAAGGCTTCTTAGGTAATTAGCAATAGTAAAGCTTTTATATATTAAGTAGTTGATAAATATATAAATTTAGAGATTATCTGGTATCTCTTATAGTCACAAATAATTTTCAGTCTATTAGGTATTAATATGTATTTCGTTCTCTTTGCTGCAGCTCTTTGATGTATTAAACATTAAATAAGTTTATTATGATTTGATTGGCTATAATTTCAGACTAGAACAAAACTTTAATTCATGTTTCCACTCGAAGCGTACTTAAGACGTCTAAACGCAGAATACTGAATATGTTTAAATCAAATGAAATGATGGTGATGGCACTAGCATGTCTAAGCAATTTTCGTCTTCAATGCTTATCTACACAAACAATGACGCCTAAATGATTTTATACTGTACTGTTATCTAAGCATAAGCTTGTATACACGAACATAACCATGTATGTGCGGATACACAAATTTATCCTTCACTATAATGGTGTTAAAATAATATTTAATTTGTGTACGGGAATATAAAGGCAGATGTTGCTATTAATTAAAGCTTTGATTGTTGTCTTTGTCCTTAAAATTTTGTACATGTGCTTATGCAGTGATATTATCCTTATTATCTAAATATGTGCATACCTGTGCATAAGGAATGCCTGAAGTTATGCAAACATTCCTAAGGTGTTGCCTATATTATGTGCGTTCGCATAGCCATGCATACAAACATGCATACAAACATGCATACATGCAAATACAGAAGGAATTTACACAAGCACTTATAAAAGCGAAATGAGAAAAACTCAATGTTTTTCCAAAGCTGCGTTCATGCAATCTCTCAAATTTAGACATTAAGCATTGTTTGCCGCAAACAAAAGCTTGTGAATAATGCATCTCAACTCACTGCTTCCTTTAAATATTAAAAATATTTTGCAGTGTTTCTGTCGTATGCCTGCTGACGTGTGCGGCCACCTTGATATCAGATTAGCTGCCACTATTCTGGATAGGGCTTAATCATTGCTGCGTTATCGAACGTTAACGAAGGCTTGAGTTTGTCTTCCACAAAGATTAATACACTATGCATTTTACTAAAGAGTATTTCTGTGCTTAGTTTCAAATTCTGAATTTATAATATTCAAAAAAAAAACGCATCACAAACGTTTTATATATTTTCGAAAAGCTTAAAGTTCTAAATCATTTTAGTCATGTCTGATAGTCCCTCTATCATGTTTGTATGTATGTTTGTTTACTGTCGGCTGTTGGTTAATTGTATGTAATGAAAGCTGACATTTGACGAACGCACATAAATAGCGCAAATGTAAATCGCATAGTCAAAGAATTTGTTCCTACTCTCTTTTGTTTAGCGCTGTTGTAAAGAAGATATTTTTTTCAAGCACTTTCATTGGATGTGTATTGTTAATTGAAAAAAAGAAACAAATAAATAAAAAAAAAATGAAATTAGTATCTTAGGTGTTATATGGGAAGAGGCCGAAAACGTCAAACATGTCGGCGTACTAAATTTCATCAGAGCATTTGTACGGTTGCGACATGATAATGATAAAATACTTGTCATTATATCTTGTATGTATATAAACGTATATTTTAGATGAAACCCGGATCGATACTTTGGCGCCATACGCAACGTGTACGTGTCCTGAAAACAGACCTATACTTCAGATATGATACGACTGATTTTGATGGAAAATTATTGTTATGAGTCACTGTAATAATATTATAATTTAAAACTTAATCTTCCTTCCATACAGAGGTTTAGTTGTCATTTGCAACTCGTAGGATTACCTGAACCAATTCGAGCCTTTCTTTTCGTTGGGCCATGGACGTTTGCAGGGCCAAGAACGACCCTCTTACCGAAATGAGGTTGGATGGGAAAAATTTTATTAAGATTTAGCATATCAAGCTTTGCTTTGAAAATGTTTTTGTACGGAAGGAACTTGAAATTTTTAATAATTCTCGTCAAAAGCTAGAGGAAAATAATAGTCTTACTAATGAATGCGAAGAATTTGGATGGGATGAATCATTTGCAATAATAATTAATTTTTAGTATTTTATGATGATAAGTAATGCAAAATAGTGGTTTGACTTATAAATTTACTGCGTTCAACAATTTTCTTAACTTCTTCTATCTAAAAGTTCCAGTGGAAAATGCAGTACCTCATACCAATAAGTTCTAAAATTCGGTTTTTTATTACGAGGATAAGTGAAAACTAATAAATTTTTTGGCAAAAAAAAATTAAGCTTGTTATACACATGTATTTATTATATGCCGTTTAATATTTTTAGTCTCTTCCATATAAATGAACTTGTTAAGTATTATTAAATTCTTAACTTTCGGTTGTAATTGGAGAAGCTGCTATTATTATTATTATTATTATTATTATTATTTTAATTTTAGACTAATGAATTGAATTCTTAGACTAAAAAAAGAGACATTGAGCACTAGCAACACAGGCTATCGGCTCTAATTTAAATAAATGGATATTAGATAAGCTTAGTAGTATTAATAAAGTAAAATATTGAATTGATATTCTGTTCTGAAGCTGATTGTAGAATGTTCAAAGGGTTAATCGTTCCAAATGCAATATTTCTAGCCAAGGAAAAGTTGAGGCAGTCGCATAGAATGTGCTTTATAGTAAGAGTTTGTCCACAACAACAGATTGGGGGAGAAGACTTCTTCAGGATCCATTGGTGAGTTGCAATTGTATGACCAAGGCGAATTCTCGAAAATGTTTGGATCTTGGTTTTCTCAACATTTGTTGGATATAGAGGTGGAGTTAATTGAGGGTTAATGCAAGAGTAGTGTTGATGATGGTATTGTAAATTTCCTTCTGCAATTTTCTCTTTAACTTTTCTTCCAATGTATCTTTGAAGATCCAACTTTTCCATGACATCATCCATAATTAGAGGAGCAGAAGCAGCATACTTTGCCGCTCGATCAGCCTACTCATTTCCCAGTAAACCGATGTGACTTGGTACCCATAACATTTAAATTTTTCCGTCGGGTGTAGTAATTATATTCCTTAATTTGTTGATGGTGCTCCATCTCGAAGTCGAAGGGTTTCGGGTAGCTAGTAATAAAGACAAACTGTCAGGAGAAATGACGGTTTTGAGTTTGTTTTTATGGGCAAGGTGGGCAGCGTGAAGGATAGCTCTGGCTTCGGTTATGAAAGTTGAAGTGCTTTCGTGAAATATGTGGTTGAGAAGAACCCCTCCTGTAGCATCTACCACCGCACAAGCAGGAGGCAGACCAGGAGATTTTGAGCCGTCTGTGTACAAAAGATTCCAACCAGTATTGTCCAATACTTGGATTTTCTCAGCTATTAGATTCCTGAAGACGTAATTTGGAGTATCTTCTTTCTTGTGCATAGACAGTGAGATGTCAAAAGAGCAGTCTTTCAAAATCCAGGGAGGTTTAACACCAAAAGAGCGG